TCTAGGGATGCAGACAACGTCTTTACCCCCTCACGAGACAAGTGTACTCCGTCGCGACTGTACAGGTAGTCGTTGCCATAGAATCGTTGCCAGCTAACAATGAATGCCCAACCATTGTTTGCACAATGTTTTTCCAGTCGGCAATTTATAGCAATTGCCCTGGACAGCCATTCACGACCAACCCCTCTTCTAGGCAAGACACCACATACTATCGGGATCCCTCCCCTATCTCTAATCTTCCCCAGCGCCTCCCTATACCTCTTCAAAAGTTCCTCACTCCATTACAGTACCTCAAACTTCCTGTAGATCTCCTGAAGGATTGGGTCGGTGCTGAGGCTGAAGTAGAGATGAGAGGCTCCTACCAAAGGCTCACCGCCCCACCTCAAGTCTCCTCCTCCATCCACCAAGTCTTCGAACCTATCAATGGGTGACGTCATCTCCCGTACCGTCAGGTGAGCCGAGAGGGACGACTTGTACGCTGCCGTGATCACCATACTTGCCAGCATCCACAACCCCACCAGCAGCTGTGTGCGTGTGTGTGCGTGTGAGTGTTGTGTGTGTGTGTGTGTGTGTGAAAGATGTTGTTGATTAGAACACTTGCACATGAAACTGACAACTTTTACACATACAGTAGACAGTCACCAACATATACTGTATATACACATACAGGAGAGTCACCAACACATATACACTCAGGTATGGACTTGCTAAACACCCTTCAACTAACACCCTGTCACCAACACCCCGTTATCCAATCATCACCTGCGCATGTGTGTGGAACAGGTGTTGAGCCATGAGACCTTATACAACACCTGTACACAGATTACAGGTGTTCATCGGGCAGCCTCCTCCTATGTTTGTATATTATAATTTACATGGTTTTTGGACAGATACAAATCATTACTTCATCAACGTCTACAACCAACTTTGTGTAGGGAGTCGCCATGATAATACAGTACGTCCCTCTCTCAGCGCCACCGTACGGGTCTTTGTGTTTATGCTTATAGTATTCATCTCTCTCTCTCTCTCTCTCTCTCTCTCTCTCTCTCTCAGACAACAGCCGCCATCTCACCCTGGCGTTAGTGTGTGTGGGTGGTTCTGTAGGAGGATCCTCTAACAACACCCCCGAGGCGTATAAGACAGCAAAATTCAGCTTCAAGGGACGACTACCTGCAGCCCACATCCTTTCTCGCAGCACCAACCACAACGTCACTCCCGCAGATACACAGCTCAGCACCACCCCCAACCACACTCCTCCTGTAGACCAGTCAATGAGGACAGAGCAAGTCAATCTGTGTTTAAAATAGACTAAATCCTCGAAAGAGAACATGAGAGAATGTAACGTCATCATATTAATTGGTGGACTGTGATATTCTGTGACATATTTCCTCCATATGGATAAAAGAAGGCCTTTAATCGGCGTTGTTCTCCGTAGTGACAAATTGGAGTCATTAAGTCAAGGGACACACTTGTAATAGTTTCCCTGAAGGTGTCATGAGTGTTATCGATCAGACACAACTTGCACGTGTCACTGACTGGAAGCACTAAATGAGGAACTTATCTGTCAAGTGTGATTAGTGACTGACTGATCTGTTAAGTGACGGGTTATGCTTAAATGGTTTAGTAATTCATTTGTTTACACGTCATGTGAGAGAGAAGCTGAAGTGAATTAACTTTTGAACTCGCCTGTGAAGGGCGTAATGAGGGCCTGGGACGGGGCTAATGGCCGGGGCTTTGCAGAGATGATGATGAAAGGGTCTGAGGCGTAGATCCTGATGTGTTCCATTACGAGGAGTCTCGGGGCTGTGGGGGTGATGGTGGTGGAGAAATCAGCCTTCTGGTGCTGCAGTGTCCCCACCAGCCCACTCCAGTTACCGTCACTACCTAATGCACCCCACTCCCCGTCCCACGCCTCGTGTAGCTCGTACCTGCAGTGACGGATTCAGACACCTAATGTTGTAGTCTGGGTTGAGTTGAGTTGGGTTATGAGGTAAAAGAAAATCATAAAACAAAAATACGGTTGCACACGCGATGAAAAAAGTTCACGTACTGTAAAGAGCAAAACCAAGCTCAATCAAATAACAATCGTCGTTCACAAGGGAATATGTGTCCCCACTTCACACCATCTGAAAGCCTTAAAACAGGCAATTTGGTTATATTTGACTTGTTCATAACTAATAAAACAACACAAATACCATACCAGTCTCCCCCAGTCTATGACCATCAAAATTTTTAAAACATATGATTAATAATAAAACAACAAGAAGCACACTACGCCGCCCCCTTTATGGTGGATACTGTACAGCTGAGGTATGTGAAGAATGTGACCACGTACGTGATGTTGAGGTGAGGAGTGATGGCTTGTAGCATACGTGTGTTGAGGGAGTCTCTGAGTGAGACGAGGGTGTCCGTCCCCTTACCCACACGGTGAAAATCGATGGTGGGGAAATACCTCCTGACCACAACACGGAACTTGTGGCCCATGATGTCTTCTGTACCGCCTCCTGCTGCTACTGCTGCAGCCAGAGAAACAACATGACCAGGTAATGTCCATAATAATCACTCACACACACACACACACACACACACACACACACACACACACACACACACACACTATATACAGGTAAATATAATAAGAAAAATAAAACAAGGATGGACCAAGCATCTCAAGTGGATACCTTCGAGAGACAGAGGCCAGCTACCAGACAGAGGCTTTTGTGGAGGTCTATGTGGGAACCTCCATCTAGCAGTAGGCTGGATGATGGTACAGGTATATACTGTACTGATCGGTATAAAGTTGTTCTCACCGGGGAAAAGAGGACCGAGGTGAGGAGCGGTGACGGGATCCCAGACGACCACCGACAGGACCCCAGCTTGACCACTCCTGCAGTACATACACCGTCGGAACACCTCTACCGCCTCCTCCAGACGTCCTCCTGTCCACCACAACAACAAACAGTAACCGGACATGAGGCTTAAAATGGTAACACTATCAAGAAGAATATACTCTTATACGGTACAATTACATACTACTAAAACTAATACTACTAATGATAACTAAATCCTAAATGCCAAAAGACAATCCACTACATCCCACAACAATCATAAACGCTCTTTTAGGAACACCACAACACAGTACAGAGGTCTACCGCAGCTCGTGTCCTTCAGAAGTCCTCGCCACAGGTTTAGGTTCTCGTGTGAGTGTTTTGGAGGATCGTGGTGCACAGTATTAATTAAAGTGCAGTACAGTATGGGAAAGGTTCTTATCAATTAGCTAATTTTATGCGTGCCTGGCGAGTGGGTGGATTGGGGCGGTGGAGTGTGTGAGTGTGGAGGGCGAAGTAGAGAGCGTGGAGTGTGTTCCGGAGACTATGGTGGAGAAGGACAACCTGCACTTCGGTCCTCCCTCCCACCACCACCACCCGCGTCTCAGGCAGCTGCCACAACCCTACTGTCTCCAGTAACCTGCAGGCGGGCCAGAGCGATAGGGTCATCACTCACCTTATATATATATGTGTGTGTGTGTGTGTGTGTGTGTGTGAGGTAGTTGTAGTAAACCGTAATTTAATTTTCCTTCTATATCCCATTTGGTATTTTTCTCTCTTACAGTATGCATTAAAGCCATTAAGGTTTAACGCTACACACGAACGTTATAAACATATGGATCTACTCATCACAGGTCCCACTATACAGTATATCGTAAATATATGTACTGAGGTTTTAGTGGAACAATAAATAATGTGAAATATTTTCTCTTCAGAGAATTATTGACATCCATTATTTTGTCCGTGCTTCTGTTGTGTAAAAAACAGCATAGGGGCGATAAATAAATGTAATATATAATGTTGCAGTTATAACTCGAAATAAGCCAGAGTCAGTTTTAACAATTGCCTTGTTCGAGGATACTCGGTTTATCTGGAACATGTATAGTAAATCACCGCAGTGAAAACTCCTGTGTTGAAGACAGGTGTTACAGATGGTACTGTACATGTGAGTGAAATCAATGGTGCTTATGGTGAGGTTAATGGTTGTAATCCAGATGTAGGTGCACTGTATGTTTCAGATCGTGTATTATCAATTGGTTGTGAGCCGTTGACATATATGAATCGTATCGGTGTATTTACAGATTATAAAGAGGTGCGCGATGCTAGAAGCGCATTGTCGGCGTATCCATTAGCAGGTCTAAGGCGCTTGGTACCCCGACTCTACTCATTTCACCAGACACAGCTTCACAATTGGGGGTCTTAGTCAACGCTGATTTTGCAAATAATTTCTCATTGCCAAGTATGCAGAGCTCACCTAACACTGCAGTGGTCGTGTTCCCGGATGCATAAACTAGTCCTCAGAGTAAACTCCTGGTGTCTAGTACCAACTTAAGTACTCTCAAGGCAATGGTTCCGCGTCAAAAAGTCCCCACACCCCGTAAACCTGTCGTGCGAACAAGTTTTCCCCAGACTTCAGGTTACTGGAGGACACAAACTTTACCCTGTCTGATCCGGAAGTCCAAAAAGCTAACATAACAGAGTTCTTGATCTCCTTTGTTCGCTATGGTCTTCCACACACTCCTCCAGGTGAATTGCCTCCTCGAGATGGAGTACATGCGCTCATCTCCTCTGCTCAAGTGCCTCTGATGTGAGTAGGGCTTCTCCCTGCCATTCCATCACCAGTCACAGACTATGCTGTGGTGCACAAATGTTCAAAGTGTGCGAAAGCAATTGGACCAACAGGCAACGATTCCTGTTTTCTGTGATGAGGGAGTTTTTTTCACATGGTGGCTGACAGAGTCATGTCCGATCCAACCATTTCCCTTGATGTACTGTATATCCCATGTTGGAGATATTCCACACGGTGAAAGTCGGGTTTCGTTGTGCTGGGAGGTACACCAGTGGGAGTGGCAAGGAAGATGACCCCATCGAGTCTGAGGAGTTGGGGAAGTGCACTCCTGTCTGTGTTGCCTGGTGGCCACAACGTTCGATCATTGCGAGGGATGTTCATTAAGTCTGATGTGTTGGATACTGCCTGGAGAGCGTTCTGGCAGAAAAATAACACGGCACATTCCTTTGTTGCATATTTAGTAGAATTAAAAGGTGTTTTGGTGGGAAAGCAGCACAGCGTCTAGCGTGTGAAGTTGGCCGAGGTTCCCAAAGAATCTGATGACACGAGAAAGATGTTTCAGTGCTTTCTGAGAGATGGCAACTGGGAACTGCACGTATCTACTGTCAACTCTGCCATGTGTATATTCCGAGAATTTTACGCCACCCTCTACCTCTGATATAACTCAGAGTATCTCGAGAGACTCAAAATGCCAAGATAATTGATCACTAACTAATTCATAGACCCACAGTTTTATTCTGGCTAGGCAGGCGGGTACATCGGACACTAGTATATGTACACGTTATATATTGTTCCTGAACATGACAACTGCCAAGTGAACTTTATCCATGGTACCTGATCTATTCGTGTCATGAGATAATAATCCTAGGCAAGAAACTAAATTGCTAATGGTTAATGCTCTTTGACTAAACAACAGATACATTATATAAAGGTTTTATAAAGGCTGCCGAGGACAACGTTACATGCACAGTCATTGTTATAATTTTATGACTGTTTGAAGATAGTTGTATTTAATGTATTTTTATTATCTTCACCCAAGTCAACAATATGATACTTAATACTCGCATCATTTAACATACTACTTCCAGTTCCCAAGTTATTGTAATGGTTATCTAATTTAGCTGAGTATTGTGGTGTTCAGTAAACGCGGTCATATTCAGCAGCAGATGGCTTCAGGTTGTAAAATATGTATGTCCAATGTGTCAAACACGTCAATATTACCCGAATCTGATGCCAAAGTTATGATTGCCTCAGTGTTTTACCAGCCCCCATGACGGCCATCTTGGATTTAGCCCTCTTGCAGGCGAATGTCTCATATCTCAAAAGTCGACCTGTGTTAATTTTGAAGCTTTATGGTCATATTACTTAAATCAAAGGTCAAACTTCGGCCACCAAAAGGTATAGAAGAGCCTGGACTAAATAACCTCGGGGCTGATCTAATCACCAGTTGGTCCGACGATACTTTTACCGACTCTGACCTAAACTTTATCATAATCAAAGTTTTTAAATGACTTAAGTTCAAGGTATTTTATGGCGGAATTATGTGAATTGTCTAACGGTTTCTGTATAAGGAAACGGTAAAATATATCTCGTCTTGGAGATATGTGTACTGTATGTGTGCGTGACGGAGATAAGTGAACTGTATGTGTGCGTGACGGAGATAAGTGAACTGTATGTGTGCGTTACGGAGATAAGTGAACTGTATGTGTGCGTGACGGAGATATGTGAACTGTATGTGTGCGTGACGGAGATATGTGAACTGTATGTGTACGTGACGGAGATATGTGTACTGTATGTGTGCGTGACGGAGATAAGTGAACTGTAAGTGTGCGTAACGGAAACACTTACCAATCACAGTTATACCGAGACTGTGGTCAATAATAGAGGCAGTTCGGACACACAGGCGGTGTTTGATTAAGACCACACACGCACACACGTTCACAGATCATGACAAGAGAATTAATCACCTTAATATAAGAAGCGTGTCATCATCTTTGTCGTTACTGGTGAGATCCAACACAAGGGCACGACAGGTGAACTTAGCTTCCCCCCAGAGTTCCCGAAGGAGGTGATCCTGTGCTGCCGCCCGTTGCTCCACCGCCGCCCTCGCCTCCACCATCACCACGCCAACTCTCACCACGCCCCACAAACGTCTGCAAGGAAAGAAAAAGCCCCCAAGAATTTATCGACGTGGGCTGTGCTGATGACTACAGAAAACGAGCCAATAATATTTAACCTATATTTAACAAAACTTAACCTAAACTAACATTCATAACCTATACTATCCTACTTAACCTAACCTAACCTAACCAAACACTATATTATATAATGGAAGATTAGTTTAGGTTAGGGTTAGGTCATATACCATTGCTTGGCCAGTTCGTTCAACATGTCATCATTAAATGGTATACCTCCTCACTGGCTATTACAGTATGTTCGTATGTCTGGCGTAGGAAAGTATCTTAAAGTTACAGTAGACTCTTACAAGTTTTATTTCTGTAACACTCACATTACAGGACAGGCATGATATAGAGTAGTTTAAATGACCATGATAAGCTGCGTTGTCACATCTTCAGATACGGTAAGTGGGAAATATAAGGTAAGGTGTTTCCCCAAGCTCTTGTTGACGCTCAGGAAATAATGGAAGTTGTTCAATAGACGCTCAGGAAATAATGGAAGTTGTTCAATAGACGCTCAGGAAATAATGGAAGTTGTTCAGCGTAGACGCTCAAATAATGGGGATTGTTCAATAGACGCTCAGGAAATAATGGAAGTTGTTCAATAGACGCTCAGGAAATAATGGAAGTTGTTCAATAGACGCTCAGGAAATAATGGAAGTTGTTCAATAGACGCTCAGGAAATAATGGAAGTTGTTCAATAGACGCTCAGGAAATACTGTACAGGCATCTTCTGTTATGTTACCCGCGTGTGTAATAATAATAATAATAATAATAATAATAATAATAATAATAATAATAATAATAATAATAATAATAATAATAATAATAATAATAATAATTAACGGTTAATTGAAAAAGTTCTGCAGCCCGAAGGCTGAAAATATACATTGGACATAAATGACTTATTACATACATTGTTGGTTTAACAAAAGCCTTCATTAGTGATAGGTAAAGGAACATACAGTGAACATATAGATTAATGTTTACAGTGGAGGTCACGTAGATCATGTGCGCTGAGGTGTTGAACAGCTGACACGTAGTGTAGTAATTCCCTCACAGATGGTGTTATGAGGGGCCTCACGTGGTGTAGTAGTTCCCTCACAGATGGTGTTATGAGGGACCTCACGTGGTGTAGTAGTTCCCTCACAGATGGTGTTATGAGGGACCTCACGTGGTGTAGTAGTTCCCTCACAGATGGTGTTATGAGGGACCTCACGTGGTGTAGTAGTTCCTCTCAGATGGTGTTATGAGGACCTCACGTGGTGTAGTAGTTCCCTCACAGATGGTGTTATATGAGGAACCTCACGTGGTGTAGTAGTTCCCTCACAGATGGTGTTATGAGGGACCTCACGTGGTGTAGTAGTTCCCTCACAGATGGTGTTATGAGGGACCTCACGTGGTGTAGTAGTTCCCTCACAGATGGTGATATGAGGAACCTCACGTGGTGTAGTAGTTCCCTCACAGATGGTGTTATGAGGGACCTCACGTGGTGTAGTAGTTCCCTCACAGATGGTGTTATGAGGGACCTCACGTGGTGTAGTAGTTCCCTCACAGATGGTGTTATGAGGAACCTCACGTGGTGTAGTAATTCCCTCACAGATGGTGTTATGAGGGACCTCACCGTGTGTGTGTGTGTGTGTGAAGGAGGAAGACATGGTTTAGTGTACAGTAAGTAAGTTGTCTCACCTGAGTGTGTGGTGCAGGAGGGGTGAGGTGTCTCCGGCGTGAACCACCACCAGATGGCATCTACCCAGGTCCTCCTCCACCACCTGCGTCACCAGCTGCTCCACCGTGTTCAAATAGCCGTCCACTTCGGTCACTTGCCGGCCTCCCACTCCGTCAACCTCCCGTCCGTCACCGTCCACGTCCCGTCCAGCACCGTCCAAGTCCCGTCTAGCACCGTCCACGTCCCGTCCAGCACCAGCCAGGACACGAGCGACAAGACAGAAGAGAACCAACGCCTCGACATTCATTCTTAAAATAAAAATACAAGGTTGTGATCACTTCAGGTTCAGTATATATTCAATATTTATCGTAATATTCATAGTCATTACCTCCGTTTTGAGAGAGAGAGAGAGAGAGAGAGAGAGAGAGAGAGAGAGAGATTGATTGATTATTTTTAAATTATTCAGCTGACGATGTTATTTGCACCGTGCATAATGAGGAACAATGTTGGGTGTTCTATGAGCAACACACACACTGCCAACAAATATGATCGAATAATTGCCGCCTTCTGTAGGAGTCCAGCAGTAAGGAGCTGAAATTATCTACAAAGCTGCATGTATATCGAGCAGTGAACCTCCCCACCCTGCTATATGACAGTGAGACATGGGTCACATACAGGAGGCACCTCAAACCACTTGAAAACTTTCACCAACGTAGTCTACATTCCATCCTCCGAGTTCGCTGGGAAGACAAGAGAACAAATGCCAGTATTCTCGCTGACACCAACTGTAGGAGCATCGAGGCTACCATTATCTATGAGCAATTACGCTGGACTGGCCATGTTACCCGGATGGACGACAGTAGACTGCCAAAGCAGCTACTTTACAGTCACCTAACGAATAGTAAACGTAACCCCGGCGGGCAACTGAAAAGGTATTAGGATAGTCTTAAGACAAACCTGAAAAAGTGCCAAATCGGCCCCCTCACCCGGGAGACGATCACTCCACACCGTAACGCTTGAAGGAGCACCACACGAGAAGGTGTCAATACTTTCGAGTTAGTCCGACTGTAAACCGAGGTAGACAAACGCCAACGCCAGAAAGACGCTGCCGCCGCCCCTCCCGCACTAGGTGTAGCCCCCCACATGAGCAACATCTATGGACGACCCTGCTCTCGAGTCACCATAGAGCTCACCAACGAAGGTGAAATCCTTAAAAACTCATATAATTTTATCATAGCTGGATGATCGTCATACTCGATTCCGAGTGACAGCAAAGTAGTAGTAGTTGTGGTAGAGAGCACAAGTTCGGGCAGTAGCGGTGGTTAGTGACGAGAACGGGCTGATTAATTTCAAGCCATTTTTGGGGACTGTTTAAAACTATTAGTTTTCATTAATATAACTTTCATAATTATCTACATGTTTTTAGTACTGTTCATAACTACTTGAATAAAGACGAAAGCTAAGGTACTCCGTTGTTTCCATTTTCCCGTGTGATTTTATCAAGATATATATATACATATATATATATATATATATATATATATATATATATATATATATATATATATATATATATATATATATATATATATGCAAGTAAATCACTGTAGGTGCGCGTGATCTAGGTATATGCTGAAAACCACAAGGAAAGAAGAAAACACAAAGTTCCCAAGCGCTTTCGTGTAATTCACATCTTCAGGGGTGAGTACAGACTAGAGAGAGAAATACAAATCAAGGTGTATATATACAGAGAAGGGTGAGACCAGGTCCACAATGGTCAGGTATTAGGTAATGACCCTACTAATCTTTAAATAGCACACAACGGTTGGTGGTCAGGTCAGATGGTCAGGTGACCCGGCCTTCTCACCTGGTTACAAACCTTCTTAATTGCAAAATTGTCCAGCTTGTACATGCCGTTACTCAAATTCATGTTGAATGCTTCGGTATGTTTAATAAGACTAGATTCTATGATGTTCCTACTATCAATTGAATTACTGTACATGGTAATATTGAGGAGGCATTATCCCAGTCAATGCAATGCTTGTTATCCCTCAAATGAACAAGTTAAAAGAAGATCTCGGGGCCCACTTCACACACATTATATAATAAGTGACCCATTAAAGCGTCCGGAAGAGAAATATATAAATAGATTTATGAACACATCAATATGTTACCGGTTCTCGGAACTCCTATGAAATGTTAGTAGTGACAAGTTGATATAATTGACAGCCTTTTACATATAGTGTATGACCGAGTGTGGTGCGTGCTGGACATAGTGGCCCTTAACAGACTTTATTAGCATTCGGTTATTGTTTCTGAGAACATTGGTGAAGGGATTTCTAACACCGAGGAAGTCTAGTTCAACAACACGACAAATACTTGGAAAGATCCACGAGTAAATCTTGAGGTCTGGATTTCACTTCCAACGATAATTTTATCATCTAGTTGTGCGGTTCACATCTCAAGGCAAACTCAGGCATTCAGTGCAGAGACGATTAGAGAACTTACAAGATATCATGGTTAAGCCAACACTCGCAGCAGCTCAGACTGGTAGTGTGGTAGCTTGGGTTAACGTAACAGAAAATCTTCAAGAATTGGAAATTGGAAATAAACAAAAGCAAAGTCATCTTCATAAAGACTCTGGGGAGGAAGGAGGGAGAGACAGTTGGGCAAATGCTGAGAAATGTGGTTGACTTTGTAGCCGAGCTGCAGTGAGGAAAGATCTGATAAACATACTGTATAGTTAGTGAGAATCACCATCCTTGAACACGAGCACAGGAGGGATGTGCTGAGGAAGGCAAGGAACCTCAAGCAATTAACGGAGTAAAGCAAAGAGCTCAGAGGTGAATCACACAAGCTTGGTAATTAACACACAACCTTGTATTAATGATCCCTTTACAGCATGTGGTATTTCATAAATTATATTAAGGTTGAAATTTTAGTTCTCTACTATGCTATTCCTTTACTCCTCCCTTACTTACATTGACGTCACTAAATTACTCGTAGTTAATGTTCTTGCACCCCACACATCACCAGTCCTGTAAGTGCCACAGCTTACTTAGTGTTGCATTTATTTCTTATTCAGTGATTCTCTCTCGTGGAGTAACAGGACCAAGACACTGCTGCGTCAAAGGGTGAAGGTCTTTGTTTTGCCTACCCTGTATTAACGCTCTTTCCTCGTGCTTAACTTAACCTTAATCAAATGCTAATATTACCTAACTTAACCAAACTTAATGTAAACTTAATGTGAGCTAACCTTAACCTAATGTAACCTAACCTAATGTTAACTTAATGTAACCTATCCTTAACTTAATGTAACCGAACCTAATATTTACCTAATACAACCTAACCGAATGTTAACCTCATATAACTTAACCTAACTTAATCTTAACCAAACGTAACCCAAACTAATGTTAACTCTAACCTCACCTTACGTAACCTAACCTCAACTTGCTGTAAGTTAAATTTACATAACCTTAACCTAATGTAACGTAACGTAACGTAAGAATGCACCGGAACTTAGTTATGGCCGGAATTTCGGCAAAATAACCAGCCGGAACCGGACCTTTTTATAATGTTACTGATTTCTGTTTCATTGATTAAAATATAATTCACTGTTAATGTTTATTGTGTCTAATGGATAATGGAGCATAAAAAGTAGTGAATGATTAATGATTATTGATGTACGTGTAGCAAACAAATTGTTACATCTAAAATCATACTTATTGCACTGAACAAGTGACAGAACCAGTTAAGAGTTATCCAAGGTTCTCTACAACCCGTGTGTTCTGTGTATATTTATAAATAAGAACATATGCAATATAAAAACAGTGGGATATGTTTTCTTGTTCAAGGATATAAGCTTTTCTATAAATGGTTTACGTTCAACTTGGCTTCGTATTGTTTCGTGCTTATTCACTCTATGGAAGTATGAGCTGTAATACAGAACAAATGGGGCTGATTTTGAGGCTTTTGTGCATGAGGAAACGCCCTGAGTTTCCTACATGGCTAATATGATTCACAGTTGGAGCAGTGTATTAATACACTGTGTGTGTGCATCTTTAAAACCCTAATATCTTTGTATGTAATTATGACGAGGCAATCTATATATTACATATACAAATCAAATATAATTAAGTTTTAGCACAATAATTGCTCACATAACCACCATGTTTGATTATATATATTCGCACAGGTTAACGGAGCAGTAAGTTAAACACGACATGACACAGCAGACTTCGTGTTATGTCTGGTATTGGCTTTACTTTATTTTAGATTAGAGATATTTGTTCTTCATCTTCAAATACACAGATTGTTTACGTTTGTACATACAAATTTACTAAAGTTTAAAAATTCACAAGAACCTTATAAACATCTGTCACTATAATAATTTAGTATTGAGTGCAGGAACACTGAGTATCAAGGTCAAGAGGTTACTGTATACATTATATTTACATAATAAAAGCGACGTCGACCCGGTAAAAGTGCTACGTGTACAGGACCTCAGTTTGTGTCAGAGCGTCTCGAGTTTATTGACATTTGACATGATGCTGCCAGATACCTTCCTCATACACCCGTCTATAGTGCTGCGCTACTGGTCGAGATGCACACAGACTAATAACACCGACGCTAACCAAGATAATCAATATTCAATTATCACACCGAAATTCTTATATAATTTTCATGTTATATTTATTTTCTTGTTCATAACTGACATTAACACAACAGGCAGACGTCATACTAATATTCAGAGTGATTAAGGTAGGGCAGTAACTAGTGGTCAGGCGTCAAACAAGTAAAAATAAAGAAACTTTCCCGCTTGTTAATTACGCCCAATACTAAAATATTCAGAGGCATCTAATATACCAGTGGTTCTCAACCTTGTTTGCCCCATGCACCCCTTTCACCATATGTCAGAATGTCATTCCCCCCTCCTTTCCAAGATTGTCTGACTCAAAAAGTGCCTTCCAAATAATATGCATATAATACTGAAAATCCTTTATTTTTTCCATATTAGTATCAGTTTCCCCCCCCTGAAAACCTGAGGGGGGAAATTCCCCCCTGGTTGAGAACCCCTGTAATATACTATAGGACTAGCAGTGTGTCTGAATGTCTGTGTGTCTGTTCTTGGCAGCCGAAACGGCACAATCGTTTTTCATTAAACTTGGTGGAAAAATCGCAAAAAATTCGTAGTGGAACAAACCTGGTCCCATGTCGATGGTTTCTTTAGGAAGGCATTAATTAACGATTTTATTTACGATGGAAAACGATGCAAGTCTACGGGCTTGGCGCACCCTAATTAACCAT